TTCCTTATAAGGGGCGGGGTCCCCGCTTCTCCCACAGCTGTGCGAGGGGTTGGGGTTGGGGGTCAGCAGCCTCAGAGAAGCAGGATCTCTGCACTGGGCCTCCAGGCTTCCTGGATCCTCCACGGGCCCAACCAGTCACAGGGAAATGAAATCCGTGGCCTGGAGCAGGGACAGTGAGAGCAGCAGCAGCAGCAGCCACGAGGTGTTCTGAGCCAGCAGGTTGATGCCCTCGCACTTGACCAGCTTGTCTGTGGAGAGAGAACGTGGTGAGGGAAGGGACTAGGACTCCCTCTGGGAGGCAGGCACTGGCATGTCTGAGCTGCAGCCAGGACCAACCTGGCCATGGTGGGAGCCCCTGAACACGTGGCGGCTTAGGAGGACCCTGCTGAACTGCAGCACAAGACTGCAGGCGAGAGACGGCCTGTGTCGTCTCAGTTTCCCAGGCAGGGAGGACTGGGGAGGCAGCCCCTCCCTCCAGTCGCAGAGGTCAAGGACTCCCCAGGGGACCCGGCAACTGCTGAGAGCTGGCGAGGCCCAGCCAAGGGCGCCGCCTGCCCGCTTGGCCTTGTCGGGGGCTCGCCTCACCTCTGAGCACAGAGACGTTCTGGTGGGAGCTCTGGGTTGGCTGGCCGGAGATGCGCAGTTCGCAGGTGTAGGTGCCCTCGTCCTTGGTGGTGAAGTTGGCCAGGTAGAGGACCTTGATGTTGTACCTGCTGGTGAAGTTGGTGCGGGCGCGGTACGTGTACTCGGGCACGCCCCACGTGCCATGCAGCACGTGCTTCTTCTTCTCGCGGGTCAGGCTGAACTCGTGCTGGATGGGCACGCTCGTGGTGTTCTCATGCCGGCAGTCCAGGCGCAGGCTCTGGTCCACCAGGCAGGCCGTCAGGCTGGTCACCTTCTGCCCTCGGGACACCTGCAAGACTGCCACCAGCGGCGTCCCCGCCCCATTGGGGGAGAGCCTTGGGGGCAGGGGCCCGCCCTCCCACGCGATGGACAGAGGTGGGCCTGGCTGCAGAGGCATCCTGTGTGACCCCGGGAGTCCCCAGGGGCCAGTCCAACTCCCCCTGTGGACTCCAGCCTTCCTCCCCGGTCTGCTGAAGCCTTGGGACCCATCAGCAGCGAGTGGCAACGGCAGGAGAGCTTGGGCTCCTGGCTCCCTTTTGCAGGTTCCAATTCACTAGGATGGGCAGGGCTCAGCCAGCGGCCTTTCCTGAACCTCCTGGGGCGGGCAGGTGGTCGGGTCAGCTGGGTTGATCAGTCCACCTGGGATGTGCGAAGCCCCCCTCCCTCCGTCCCCCGCTTTCTGAGGCTGAGAGGGGGAGGCCAGCCCGGCCCCTTGCCCGGTACCTGTCAGCAGCAGTGCGATGCCAATGGCGGGGTTCATGGTGCCAAGAGCTCCGCCCTGGATCTGCGTGTGGGAAGAATGAGCAGGGAGAAGGCTCAGGGGGGCTCATTGGGAGCATGCTCTAACGGCCGCACTGGACGCCTAAGCGCTTCTGTCCATCTGCCCTCTCCTCCCCAGTTGTTTCTGGCCCTGGCCCTGGCACGGGGAAGCGGGGAAGCGTGCTCTGCAGTGAAGTGTACCCCTGTGTCCCTGTCTGAGCAGGGAGCGCTCCCTCCCAGCTGGCTGACTGTACCTGGCTTTCTCTCTCACATTCTCCCCGCCTGCGGGGTTGTGAGACCAGTGAGCACAGGGGCTGGATAGTTTTTAAAGATTTTAATTCTGGTAGACTGCATGCAACATCTGCCCACTTAGCCATTCGTGAGCGTACAGTTCAGCGGCCCACAGTGGTGAGCAACGGGGTCTTTCAGAACCAAAGCTCTGCCCATGGCCACGGAACTTCCCCTTCATGGACTTTCTATTTCTCCTGCAGAAGAAAACCTCCAAATGCCCAGAGCAGCTCCTGAAATATAACAGATGCTCAGGAGATGTTTACTGAAGGAATGAATGAGGCGCTCTGGAGCCTAGAAGTCCACGTTGTCCTGGGGGCTAAGAAAAATGGCGCAGGGGGAAGGGCTGCTCAGCAGATGCATCCGCCAATATGTCACTGGCTGGAGCTGATGTCAGGGATGGGTGCGGCCCTCCCAGGTAGGCCTGCACTTGGCGTTCAGTGAGGGGGCTGTCCAGCGTGCACGAGGACAAGGGACAGAGCCCTCTGATTGCAAAGGAGCTAAAGACGCCTCGCCTCCCCATGCCCAGCTCTCTGGGATTGCCAGGCTGCAGTTTCCAGTCCCCTTCCCCACCTTGCCCCGCCGCGCCTTTTTTTTTTTTTCTTTTTTTGCAACCCAGACTGAATTGCCATCACGGAGCTGAGAGCCTAGCCTGTGCGCCCAGGAGAGGCCATAGCAGCAGCATGCGCCTGAGAGTGCGCGCGGGGCCGGTCCAGGAGGTACTGGTCCCGGGCGCAGGGCGCGGCACTCGCGAAGTCCAGGGTCCCTGGCGCTCAACGCTTGGGCGGGGTCCTCCAAACTATGCGGAAGCGCTGCTGCGAACCAAGGGGAATCAGCAACCGGTTTGATGCGAGGACCCTGGGCTAGTCTTGAGGGGTGCAGGCCTGGCATCTCGGAAGGGTAGGGGGAGCAGCGGCCAGATTTGGAAAGGAAAGAAAGGAGGCCAGGGCTGGAGGGGGATGAAGAGCGCGCAGGGGGAGGGTGGGACGCGGTTGGGAGGCGCATTCTGCACCCGTTCCCTCCGCGCTGGGTTCCCGCGGTTCAGCGCCAGCGGAGCTCCGCGCTCCCCTCGTCCCCGGCCCTGCGCGGGAGCCCCGTGATTTCCTATCCAATTTTCCATCCGAGGTCCCCTCCCCCACCAACCTTTTTGAGTTTGCCCCTCCCCCGTCTGCTCGCCTTCCACCCAGTCCCCGCCCGCGGCACTGCGGTTTCCTTTCCTCGAGTGCCCCGCACCCAGCCACCGCCAGGTCGCGGGGTAGAGGCTTCCCGCAGCTGGCCACCCTCCGTCCTCCCGCCCGCATGGCGCTCCCCTCCCCCCTTGCCATCGGGTGTGGGGCCGTCTGTGTGGGGGAGAACCAAAGGCTGCCCTTGGAGCCCTCCTCGCGCTCCACCGGACAACCGCCCCCCAGACCCCGCCGGAGGATGGAAGTCGGGGTGCGGCGCAGCCGGTTCCCCGCAGAACCTCGCGCTCTCGCCCTTGCCTGGGAAACAGGTCCCTCCCCCGGCCCTGCAGCGTTCCTCCTTGGGGTGCCCTCGGGAGGCTCCTGAGGCCTCAGATCGCGGGGGCTTGCAGGGGCGCCTGGCAGCTCTCCCTGAGCCCAGGGTCCCGTCCTGGCTGGCTCCCGCTCCTACCTGGGCTCCGGTCCTGCGCTGCTGCAGCCGCCTCGGATGTGCCGCCTCCAGCTGCTGCACCGTGCGCGGCGCCCGCAGTTTTCACCGCGGGTGGGGGAGAAGTGGGTGGAGAGGATTGGGGGGCAGCCAATCAGAGGCTGTCCGGGGAAGTCTGGGGTGGGGTGGCTGGGGAAGGGTGGAGGAGGCGGTCCCCTATTGGTGTGGGCGAGTGGTGGGTGGGCGGCCGCTCCAGGGGACCTCAGCCTGGACGGGACCCCGGGATAGGGGTGCGGCCGCCTCCCCGAGGCCCCAGCGAGTGCCCCTCCTTAGGCTGTTCCCCTTTCTTCTGACCGGGTCGTCCCGAGTCTGTGGGAAGCCCCAAGGGTCAGGAGGGCAGGATGGAGGCTCCTCCTGCTGCCGGTTTCGGCGCTGGAATGTTCCAGTCTTTCTCCAAAGGCAGCGGTGGGGTGTTTTCCGTATTGGTGCAGCCCTCTGCAAGCAGGACAGGCGCTGCACTCCCCTCCTCCTTTCCCGTAGGCCTCGCTGCCCTGGGATGTGGGTGCTCTCTGCTCGGGGCACCCCCACGCCTTAGCTCCCAGGCTGGCGCCTCCCGCCCAGGTGCTTGTGGCTCTCGTGAGCACCGTTTGGCCTAAAGGCAAGGTCAGGACTGTCGCCGTCCACTAAGACTAAGCCCGGCGGCACCTCGGAGGCCTCGGAGCCCACAACCCGCTGCGGCCGTGCCCCACTGGCAAAGGCTGCCCTGGGGCTGGTGCGTGGGGGCTGCAGACCGACTGCAGGAGCCGCGCCCCTGTGCTGCCTGCGGGACACGGGATCGCTGAGACCACGCACCCGAGAGGGATAGGCTGAGTGCCGGCTTCTGATCCTGCGTGCGCACACACAGACACACACAGACGTACACAGAGACACAGACACATACACACAGACACACACAGCGACACACACAGACACATACACACAGACACACATATACACAGAGACACATACACACACAGAAACACAACACATATACACACAACCACACACACATACACATACACACACATGGACACACAGAGACATACACTGACACACAGATACACACAGAGATACACACACACACATATAAGACACAGACACACATATACACAGACTCACACAAACACACATAGACACAGAGATACACAGACACACACACACAACCACAACCACACATATATACACACACAGACACACACACACAGAGATACACACAGACACATACACAGACACACACACAGAGGCACAGACACACACACATACACACACAGAGACACATACACAGACATATACACAGATACATACACAGACACACATACACACAAAGATACACACAGATACATACACACAAACACATAGACACACAAACACAGAGATACAGAGATACACAGACACAAACACATACACAGGCACAGACACACACATATACACAGACACACAGACACAGACACATAGACACAGACACACACATACACACAGAGATACACACAGATACATACACACACAAACACACAGACATAGACACACACAGAGATACACAGACACACAGACACACACACACAGATACAGACACATACACAAACACAAGACACACACACGGACACATACACACACATACACAGAGATACAGACACACAGACACACAGACACAAACAGAAACAACATACACACACAAATACACACATACACACACAGAAGCACACAAATACAACCACACACATACACACAGTATACAAACATACACATACACACACAAACACACACACAAATACACAGAAACACACACACACAAACACACACATACACAGAAACACACAAACACTACCACACAGACACATACACAGACACATGCACACACAGAAACACACACAAACACAACCACACACATACACAGAAACACACAGACACACACAAACACAACCACACACATACACACAAATACACAAACACACACACAGAGACATACACACACATATACAGACACATACACAAACACAGAAGCAGACACACACAGAAACATACAGATACAACCACATACACATACACACACAGACATACACACAAATACACACACACAGAGACACACACATATACACACAGACACATACACACAAACAGAAACAGACACACACATACACAAACACAAATATAACCACACACAAATAAACACACATATACACACACAATACACAAACACACACAGACATACAGAAACACACAACCAAACCACAACCACACACACATAGAAACACACACAGACACACACAAATACACACACATATACACATACACAAATATATACACACAAACACAGACATACACATACACAAACACAGAAACACATGTACACACATATACACACAGACACAAACACACAGACATACACAGACACACAGAAACACACAAACAACCGCAGCCACACACATATATACACACAGACACACACAGACACACACACACACACAGATGCAAACATAAACACACATACACAATACACAAACACACACATACACAAACAATACACAAACACAGAAACACACAGACACACACAACCACACACACACAGACACATACATAGAAACACACACATACACACAAACACAATTCACAAACACATACACAAACACAGAAACACACAGACACACACAGAAACACACAAACACAACCACACACACAAAACAGAAACACACATACACAAGCACACACACATACACAAACACAACCACACACAGACATAAACACACACACAGAAACAGACACGTACATACACAGACACAAACACAGAAACACACCAACACAACTACAACCACACATACACAAGCACACACATACACAAACACAGAAACACACACAGATGCAAACATACACAAACACACATACACACAATACACAAACACAGACACATACACAAACAATACACAAACACAGAAACACACAGACACACATAAACACAACCACACACACAGACACACACATAGAAACACACACATACACACAAACACAATTCACAAACACATACACAAACACACAGAAACACACACAAACACAACCACACACACACAAACACAACCACACACACAAAACAGAAACACACATACACAAGCACACACACATACACAAACACAACCACACACAAACACACACACAGAAACAGACATGTACACACACAGACACAAACACAGAAACACACCAACACAACTACAACCACACGCATACACAAGCACACACATACACAAACACAGAAACACATACAACCACACACACATACACAAACACATACATACACAAACACACAGACACACACACATACATGAACACACAGAAACACACACATACACACAATACACACAAGTACACACATACAAACACACACAGAAACACAGACACATACACACATACACAAATACAGACACAACACATAATATACAAACACACGCACGAACACAGAAACACACACAGAAACATATACACACACATACACACATAAACAAACACACAGACTCAATACAGAAACACACACAATACACAAACACACACAGACTCAATACAGAAACACACACAAGACACAAACACACAAGACACAAACAGAGACACACGGAGACATACACACACACAGACACACACACATACACAAAAACAGAAACACAGAAACACAACCACACACATACACACACATACACAAACACGCACAGACACACACAGATACACAAACACATATACACACAAACACTATACACACAATACACAAACACACACATACATACATACACATACACAACACACAGGCATACACAAACACACACATACACAAGACAGGCACACATGCACACAAACATACACACACACTCTGCCCTTCTATGCCGTCAGCTTGATGGTCGCCAGGCGGTGCCACGCCCTCACCCTGCAGGTGTGATACATTGTTTTGAATAAAGTTTTTTTGTGGATTTGCGTCCTTTGGTCTCTGTGAATGCTGCTTGGGACCCCCTGTGTGCCGGCCCGCCCTCCCGGCCATGGCCCGCTCCTGTTTGGCCGGAGGTCCGCTGTGCGCCTCGGGTGCGGTTTCTGTACTGTGATGGCAGTGCCGGAGGCCGTCCCTGGGCTTGCGGTGGGAGTTCCCTTTCCCTTTCCCTGTCTGTAGTGGGGTCAGGTGGTCTTCCCGTGCTCAGAGCGATGGAGCGTCCTCGCTGGACCCAGTATGTGGATGAATGGTCAGGGCAAAAGAGGTGAGGCACGTTGGCAAACCATGGCCGCTCCTGGGTCACTTGTGAGACTCGCCGCTGCCCGTTTCCACCTAGGACCGCCTTAATCGAGGCCTGGAGCTGTGTGCTTTGTCCAGGCTGCCCGGGGTCTGGGGGTGACAGAACACGCTGACCTGGTGAGACCATCTCTCCTGGTAGATGAGCAGACCCGGTGCTCACTGTTCCCAGGGTAACTGTTCAGGGCCCCTGGCCTGCTGCCCTCCACCCCCGTCTCTTTCCTGTTCCGCTTCCTGTGCATTCCAGGCCAGTGGCCTTCCCTCCATCACCGGGGCGGGGTGTTCCTTCCTGCTTAATCTCTGTCAGGTTCTCAGGGAAATTTCCTATCAGAACACACGATTGCTTTGCTTTGGGGCTGGGCCTACCCCCCCCCCCCCCCCACTGGAGCACAGCTGGGGCCAGAGATGGTTGACTGGAGATGGGACTACCTAGAAGCCTGTTTGTGCAGACGGTGCCTGGGCCACAGCTTGCCAAGGCTCTGGATGCCTCATTTCTCACTGTGCGGCCCCGTGTTTCTGAAGACTGAGCTGTGCTGTTTCCATTAGGTTACAAGGACCTGGCCTACTTTCTCAGTCCCCAGGCACTGTGCCTTCAGGATGGGGAGGGGAGTGTGGACGCTAGAGGTTGTAGCAGTTGTGTTTCTATGAAGGCTAGGTCTCCAGGAAGGCGAAACTCAAGCCTCCGATGAGATGACCTGTGGCCTTGCGTGGGACACAGGGCAGTGACCAGGAGGCGATTTAAAAGCCCCATTCACTAATGGACTGGATGGGAGTGATGAGAGTGGGAAGGAGTGGAGCCGAGGCAGGGTTTCCTGGCAGACCGGGGCTGGCCTTTTCAGTCCCCTAGACCTCTCTTCTCCCATCATTCTCTGTTGCCCCAGCTGGAGACATGTGGGGGCTAAACCCATGGTTCTTTAGGGTGGTCTGGCACTGCCAGCCATTCACTCTTTATGTTTGTTGATTTCATCAGATTTTCTTTATAGAACCACAGAGGTGGCATGAGCTGCTGC